CTTCTTATGGAGCCCTTCCTTCTGCATCTGACATCAGGCTGTTACTCTCCGTCTGACATGTCTGCCTGGTCCCAGGATCACCATGGACAGTCTTCAAGGTCTTCTTTACGAAACTTTCCTTGACTGACTGAAGTTGGTGCATAATCTTCCTTCCCCACGTGAGGCTGGCCAGAGGTCCCCATATCCCAGGATGCAGGCTCTCCGGACTCGGTTCCACCTTCAGTGCTTACCACAGAAAGTGTTTGTTCTGTGAGAAGCATCGTTGTGCTGAGTGCCATGTTCTCTCTCCATGTGTCGGTCTGCATTCGTGTTTTCAGTGGTAGACTAGAACTTCTAGAAATCATGGATTCCTTCCGGCTTATGTAGCATGTATGGCGATTCACTTACGGGAACACAAACCGGGTGGTTAAGAGAGAAAAATTATCGATAACTAAGAGAGTAGAGATGATGACTCACCCGAAACTACTCCAGATGGTGGTTTCTCACACAGATGTGCCTAAGACCAATGGCTGAGGGGGGAAGAATGGATTATTTCCCAATCGCTTAGGCCCTAGGATTTAAATGTACACTACTTTAGGCATCTAAGTGCAATGAGCTCATAAAAAGTGAATGTACGTATTTGTATTTGCTGGGGAACTTGGGGTTGTAAAGTTTCCTGTTTGGAATATGTTTGAGCCATGCATGTCCTTTAAGGAATGGTGAATCCATATATCGTCTCCTTAGCAACCAAGGGGGTTTGCTCACTCGGGCTTTCTTCTCTTTTCCAGATCTTGGCCATCGTGTCCATTCTGTTCATCGTGCTGTCCACCATCGCTCTGTCTCTCAACACCCTCCCGGAGCTGCAGGAAACGGATGAATTCGGACAGGCCAACGACAACCCCCAGCTGGCACACGTGGAGGCGGTGTGCATTGCCTGGTTCACCATGGAGTACCTTCTACGCTTCCTGTCCTCGCCCAACAAGTGGAAGTTCTTCAAAGGCCCGCTCAACGTCATCGACTTGCTGGCCATCCTGCCGTACTACGTCACCATCTTCCTCACCGAGTCCAACAAGAGCGTGCTGCAGTTCCAGAACGTCAGGCGCGTGGTGCAGATCTTTCGCATCATGCGCATCCTCCGGATCCTGAAACTCGCCAGGCATTCCACGGGCCTGCAGTCCCTGGGCTTCACCCTCCGCCGGAGCTACAACGAGCTGGGCTTGTTGATCCTGTTTTTGGCCATGGGGATCATGATCTTCTCCAGCCTGGTGTTTTTTGCAGAGAAGGATGAGGACGCTACCAAGTTCACCAGCATCCCGGCGTCGTTTTGGTGGGCCACCATCACCATGACGACGGTCGGCTACGGCGACATCTACCCGAAAACGTTACTAGGGAAAATCGTGGGCGGCCTCTGCTGTATTGCCGGGGTCCTCGTGATCGCCCTGCCCATCCCGATCATCGTGAACAATTTTTCTGAGTTCTACAAGGAGCAGAAACGCCAGGAGAAGGCGATTAAAAGGCGAGAGGCCCTCGAGCGGGCCAAAAGGAACGGAAGCATCGTCTCCATGAACCTAAAGGACGCCTTCGCCCGGAGCATGGAGCTGATCGACGTGGCCGTGGAGAAGGCAGGCGAGCCCGCGCACGCCAAGGTCTCGGCGGATGATAACCACCTGTCGCCCAGCAGGTGGAAGTGGGCCCGGAAGGCTCTGTCCGAGACGAGCTCCAACAAGTCTTACGAGAATAAGTACCAGGAGGTGAGCCAGAAGGACTCCCACGAGCAGCTGAACAACACGTCCTCGTCCAGCCCGCAACACCTGAGCGCCCAGAAACTGGAGATCCTGTACAACGAGATCACCAAGGCGCAGCCTCGCGCGCACCCGAACCCCGACGGCCAGGAGCAGCCCGAGAGGCCCTCGGCCTACGAGGAAGAGATCGAGATGGAGGAGGTGGTGTGCCCGCAGGAGCAGCTGGCCGTGGCGCAGACGGAGGGCGTCCTGGACATGAAGAGCACCTCCAGCATCGACAGCTTCACCAGCTGCGCCACCGACTTCACCGAGACGGAGCGGTCGCCGCTGCCGCCACCCTCCGCGTCTCACCTGCAGATGAAGTTCCCGCCGGATCTCACGGGGACCGAGGAGCAGCACCCAAGAGCCAGGGGCCCCCCTTTTCTAGCGCTCCCCCGAGAGAAAGGGCCTGCGCCCCGGGATGCCACGCTGGACTATGCCCCGGTCGATCTAACTGTGAACCGCGACTCCAGCGGTTCCCAAAGTGGGCTCCACGGCCCAGCGCAGTCCGACAGCACCTCCGAGAGCCCCAAGAGCTCGCTGAAGGGCAGCCACCCGCTCAAGTCCAGGTCGCTCAAAGTGAACTTCAAGGAGAACAGGGGCGGAGCCCCGCAGACCCCGCCCAGCACGGCCAGGCCGCTGCCGGTCACCACGGCGGACTTGTCGCTGACCCCCCCGCAGCTCATCAGCACCATCCTCTTAGAAGAACACCCCCCGCAGGGGGACAGACCCTTGCTGGGCGCTGAGGTTTCAGCACATTGTCAGGGACCTTCCAAAGGGCTGACCCCTCGGTTTCCCAAGCAGAAACTCTTTCCTTTCTCCTCCCGAGAGAGGAGGAGCTTCACGGAGATAGACACAGGCGAAGATGATGACTTCTTAGAGCTTCAAGGGACGGGGCAGGACAGGCAGGCCGACTCCAGCCCCAACTGCTTTGCAGAAAAGCCTAGTGATGGAAGAGACCCTTTAAGAGAAGAAGCCTGTGTGGGCTCTTCCCCACCCCAGGACACAAGTCACAACTGTAGGCAGGACATTTACCAGGCTGTGGCCGAAGTTAAAAAGGACAGTAGTCAAGAAGGGTACAAGATGGAAAACCACTTGTTTGCCCCAGAAATTCATTCCAACCCAGGAGACACAGGTTGTTGTCCCACACGTGAAACCAGCATGTGACTAGTTAGAAAGCAATAAAAAAACAAAACAAACAAACAAAAAAAACTTGTTTCTTAAAAATGCGGTTAACAATGCCTGTGAACTTAAAAATAAATAAAAATGGGAAGCTCCCTCTCCTCACCCCCAAAAAAAAGTGCATAAAATGTTATTTTTGCATGGCATGAACAGTTTCCTTTAAGGACTGTTTAAATAAAGAGCCAAGACTGCATTTTGTAACAAACAAAACAAAAATGACTGAAGAACAGTGAACAAATAAAGAGAGCTCTGTCAGGAAACAGTATTCGGCAATGTCTGACATTTTTTATCCTTTCATTTCAAATTGTAGGCAGATTTTCAACTTTTCTGTTACAATGAATTTTAGAATTTGTACATGAAAGGATGAAATGTCATTGCACGCATTCATAATTGCGAGGAGCAAGGTGCTCTAAGCTTACAAAATGCCTCACTTTGTAAATAACGGGGCCTGGGATGCAAAAGTGTCATGAACCCAATGGAAACAAGTTTTCTAAGACACAGGTACTTCCTTCACAGCTATTGTCTGGAGGAACTGTACAGACTTCTTGTTGCAAAATTGCAACCTCTTCCTAAACCATCTCACATATCTTGCTTTGGATTCTAAAGCTCTTCTAAGTCCATTTGTTCAAAGGAATACAGTATTTTTTATTTCCTTGTGCTAGAATTCATAGGGCGTGTTTTTGGGGATTTTTTTTGGCGCATGCTTAGTTATGGCATTTGTGGTTTTACTTTATAAGTCATGAAAATAGGCAAGATTTAATGACCAGATATCCAAAATTTTGGAATTTAAGTTTGAAAGTTTGCCAATCAATTATATGTCACACCACAGACTATTACAGAAATGCATTTTTGAAAAACCTAAAAATATTTCAAGGGTTATATCATACAGCTAAACTTTTGTTTAATGGCGCTCCACATTTGGAAATCAGTCTTGGTGTGTGTTGTTTTTTTTAATTGTATGTTAGCCATCTAAAGATGACTGTATTTTCCACTTCTATCCAACATAACCCTTTATACCTAAAGATCTGAAGATAGAATGCAGATATGCCAAAAATGGGAATTCTAAAAAAATGACTTTTTTAACAAACTAAAAGCAGAGCTATTGAGACTGCCACAACCCCGCATAGATAGAATTGGGTTTGGAAATGAGTTACCATAAAAACCACCCTGACCTGGTAATGAGTCTTGAGGTATTTCCCAATGGTTGGGAGGGGACATTGTCACTTTGGGAAGGCCACAGATGCCAGCAACACCCTCCAGTAATTGCAGCAACTAGAAACATCCCCTCATGTTTCCAAGGCCCCCAAAGGGTGGTCAGGACTACCCTTGGGTTTTTTGTTTTTGTTTTTGTTTTTTATTAGTTTCAGGTGTACAAAACAATATAACAGACATTTACACACCTCACAAAATGATAATCCCCCTCCCCCAATCTACTACCGACATCATTGTTGAAACCACTCCCAGAATTTTCTACCGAAAACAGTGAAATCCAGAGAAGTTAAGACACTCACTGGTGGTTGCCCCACTGGGAAGGCCTGTGCTGGAACCCAGGTCTTTTGAATCTACTTTGCTTCACAGGAAATTAAGGTGCTAACTCCAGACAGGCAGCTGTCAGTTGTGTGATCCTGGGCGAGTCTCGAAAACCTCCCTCAGTCTCAGTTTTGCCCCAGTAAAAACCTAGAGAACATTATTTCTCAGCTCCCTTAAGCCTTCAAATTAATATGATTCCTTGGTCTCTCAGGAATGTCCAAATTTTGCCTCTGCATAATGCGTTTTGTGTGTGTGTGTGTGTGTGTGTGTGTGTGTGTGTGTGTGTGTGTGTTTCCAGGAAATAAATAGTAGGGGAAATTCTGGGCCAAGTTCAAAGCAC